ACCGTAATCAGGTGGAATATTGATGGAGCATTTCGCCCGATTTAATTACATCTGCACACGAATGGAATTTGTGGTCCCTGAAAGCGAGAACGCTATCGTTTTTCTGGCTTGCGCACCTTGTGTATGTAACGCAGTCTCAAGGAAAGGAAACTGCAATGGTTTTTGACGGAGTGAGAAACGTTTCGCGAAAGCTGTGCGCTTGAAGGGATATCAAAAAAGCACGCTTGTACGTACTTGTGGTGTTGTGGGAAAGATGGTTTAAATATGTGAAGTGCCTTTTAAGCCAAAATCAAAAGTGGAGCACAGTTTATAGTCACGTTTATCAACCTCTTTACCTAATATATGCATCTGTCACTGATAGAATCAAGCCCGTGATGTTGATGCAGTAAAAAGACTGTTTATTGTCAGTCAATACGCAATTTAGAAGGCAAGTAAAGCGAGACAGTAAGGCATACATGGATCGGGATTACGTGAAGCGTCACCCCAGTGCACTCTACTTAACCAGAGGACTTGACAATTTTCCCACAGTAGACGGACTAGCTGAAAGAATAATGGCTGAGCTGATACTCACCATTGAAGCGCTCCAGAGATGGGATCCAACAACTAATTTTCTATGTTGGTAAATAGCATATTAAAGCGCATATACTCAAACACTGCTCTCAACTGTTTGATATAAAAAGCTTCCTTCCGGCAATGAACAAAATATGTTGTATGAAAAGTGTGTACGTATACACTGATGAGCATAATCCACAGCGTCTCACTCGGAGAGAGAGAGGATCTTTCTCTCACAAGCAATTAGTTATAGGCATCGATCAGGTTAAGAGCACTGTACAGGTACGACAAGTACGCTTTCAGTACGTCTCTAACCTATGAAAGGCATTTGCGCCACAATCGCGGCTGCAATAACCATGTCATTATAGACATGCACAATTCGCAACTTGCCGTCAAAACATCTTCGATAACTGAGATGATTTACTCCCTTTGATATAGCCTCGGTTAGAAGCATAACGATTTTATGCTGTTCCCTTCATCAGGACCCTGTAGATGGTACCCATTATTTATTTTCAGAAACCAAATATTTTTTTACGCATTAGTCGATATGTGTGGTCTGTTTCTTATCACCACGTCAGTATACCTTTTTTAAGAAGAGTTGAAGGTTTCGGAGGGTCCTTAAAGATAGCCGCTTCGCCCCTCGCATATGCGCTCTGCTTATGCAGCCAGGTCGCCGTGCACAACGCACAAAGGAAGCATGGACACTTCGACTCAGCGCTATCTCACGTTGATAGAATGAATCTGTCCGCATTATCATGGTGCCAACACTGAAATACCCCAAAAATACCCTATTGTACTGTTACAAAATTCTGCTTAGCACAGCTTAAGTTGGTAGCTATTATGATAAAATTGATACAACGTATAGCATGATCTTCACAAACCTAGTATCCACCGGAGCTTTTTCTAAGACTAATGATCTCACCGTACCAGTACCAACCATGACATACATAAAGGGACTCTACGTTGCTTCTGAGCTTACTCTAAGCTGACGAGCATTAAAAAATGTGTACTGAAAGAGGGTACAAGCTTAAACCTTTAGAAAAGCTTCGCAGATTACAGCATGCCTATGCTAGCCGGTAAAACCGAGTCTTTTTCCTGCCATACCAAAGATTTAATCGAAGACTTTAACATCTCCGTACGAGCTGCATTGTCCTTTGTGGTTTACTGTCAGTGCGTTCCATCTCCAATAGCTTACGAGAAGTTGAGATGTGCTAAGTCGTCTTAGTGTGATGTAGCGGCAATTTTTATAAATCATCTGGGAGACGCTAATTTTCTGAGTTGTGTATACCGAAAGATGGATGTAATTACCCTATAACGCCTAAGTGGATTCTCTAGGCCTAAATGCGCAGTCAGCGTTTGTGTACAGCTCACTATCGGCTATTTACGGAGCTAAGGGGATCAAACGATATAGAGGACAGCCCAACGGTAAATGTTCGACATGCGTAAAACTCTAGACTGCAATTAAAAGCAAGCTAAAGACAGCCAAAATAGCATAAGAATTAATGTCTCCCTTAGATAGTCGACAAGCATCGTTTACACGTTAGATACGATCTAGGTCGGTAGCTCTTACAGCGGTCTTGTGGAATTATGCAGGGCTGTCAACATCAGGAACTTGAGGTGATGGTAGGTATCACTTTGACGTTTGCGTCGTGTCATCTCATTTGCAAAATCATAACGAAAGGAAGCTCGAGGCGAACGTCCGCTTCGCTAGAGCTGGATTGTGAAGCTTTAAGACGGGTGAGGCGGCGTGTTTTTATCTCCCCGTCCGCAAACTGAGTTACGTACTCATCGACGCTTTTGCTAGCTTCAAAATTCATTCCTTATGGAGGGTACGAGAATCTTTATCACTACTGCTCCAATCGCAGACAAAACGCAAGAGGAATGCCTACCTGCGGGCTGAAAATGCACCTGCGGCGCGATATTCCCCATTTTCGATATGAATGAGATGGAAGTGCCCAACGCAGAGTCGAGAAGGAGAAACTCCGCACCAGTGCAGTGAGTGACTTTGAAAAGACCGATTCAAGATGCGATTTGGGCGAGGGTCGGCGTGATTTTTGCGCTTGGAGCTGAACAAACCGGGCTCTTTGAGTCAGGTGCAGCTCTCTTCTCTTCTCTTCCATTGATAGTGGCTGGATATTGTGGTAACGTATAAGTTAGAAAGTCAAAACACTGCTAGCATGGCAAAAGTTGCACGGAGTCCGTGACTCGTGCAGCGAGGAGGCTGCGCGCTGCGAGGGCCTCTTGGTTGGGAACGACTGGGTTATATGAAAGCGGAGGTGTTTGTTCGGAAGTTGTAGAGTCACTAGTTCCGTGTTTTGGTGTTCTTAAAGAGAGATTCTTTAAGCGCTGTGGTCACAAAGGTCGTGTTTTGGCAAGGGCTTTTAAATCCATCAAAATTAGTGCATGCCCGGTGCAAATAAGCTTCAAAGAGCGAGTGAGGTAAAGTGCAGAGAATGAAGTGAAACACCAGAAAGAGTGGTTGCTCGGGGATTGATCACTTTTTTGGAGTGTCGTAATAAAAAAAATAAGTGCAGTGTGGTTCATATCCTAGTGAAATAGGGCAAGCACTGCTATCATGTGCTCGGAATCCTTACAAATTTAGTTCAATCGTACTCGATACAAGACGGTATAGCTGTACATTAAGTTTGGAGTGATTTTAAATATTATGAAGGACCGATAATTGGTATTCATGAAGATGAGGGATCAATATGGAGATACACGTGGACTGCTAGCCGCACGTTTAAAAAATCAGTAAGGCATATACATTGTGCTCTTGTCTGAATAAGATTAATCCTAAAAATATCCATAGAGCACTGGAAACCGAGTGACATCATTGATCTTTCGTTCTGGCCTTGGTAGGAGCGCACAGATCCAGCCATTGTGCGTTCGACAACGCGGACTCGTAGGGTCAACGCTTCCATTTAAGCAATGTGCGCGGCGAACCCCGTTGCTCGTAGTAGCATTTGGCGCGCCACATTGGTAATGGAAGTAAATTAGAATCTACATGACTCATAACTTTAGCTTGAGCTTAATGACATACTTTGTAGCTAGGCAACAAATTTGAGTAAGACATGTGGACATTATTGTGTGACAGTTTAAGCGGGCTCTTTCTTGGTGGTGCAAAGCCTAGTTGAAGAGCTCGGATAAAATGACGCAGTGCCCATATTTCCACATGTTTAACGATCGATATCATAATTTTTACATCCATGTGCCAGTCAGTCATTGCCGGTTGCGATGCGCACCGCATTACTAGATGAACAAAAATTAAAAAGTTACTCGATCATTACAACGCAGTCCACATCGCACGTTCGTAAGAATTGAAAAAACAAGAGCAATAGTCTCAGTTCACGTAGGACAGTCCGAATGAGTGCACTATCAGGCCTACTATCATTCGCAAATATAGAAGTCACGAGAAAAAGCCGCCTAATTGCGCAAAAGCGGAAGATCGAGCTGTGGCAAAGCGACTTGCTGGCATATTTCACCGTTCGAATTGCGATTGTCTCCAAACTTGCGCTGAACAGACGCAACAAAAAATATCATTGGTGAGTTACGGACAGCCGAAAACTCAATTGAGCTCCCCATGGCTAGTTTAACCAAAGCACAACCTAGAAAATCACATTCTCTACAAGCACAAAATCTCGGCATCTGGGCCAGAAACGTTTTGTACGTGCTTTTGAAGACGAAGCAAAGATGATCCTGCTATTCATCTAGCGTCTTAGTAGTGTTTGAGCTCTAGCCTGGGATACATAGCAGCGTCAACATCACCTTTGGTAGGTTCACAGCAGCGGAGCTGCGCGACACTGCACGAAGTGTCGCTGCAAAACCAAATACAATACCGAACCTCGACACAAGATAATCGGATGTTCGAATCGTTATGAGCGCGTTAGAAAGGTCATAAGATCAATGTGAAGGCAACTAGCCAAGGACTGAAATGTGCACAAAGCTCAACTCATCTTTTGGTAATTTGGTCGCATCGCCGAGCAATGGGACTAAGTGGCGGCCGATCTGGATTGTTTTGTATAAAGTTTGGCCCGCACGGATAATTACCAGCATATATGATTGCAGTAGGTAATTAGAGTCTCTGATGACCAGTTTGGCATTGAAGCAGCAAATGCGTCATGCCCCATCTGTAGCTGAGGCGGATTGAGTGATCAAAAAGACTTTACAATCTGCTTTATCTTGCGGCACAAGGATGCTGGCATGATCGTGTAATATTCGGCTGAATCGACGCAGCGATCGTAATAATCAGGACGCTCAGTCGTGATTTTCAAATGTCAGTCTAAAAAGACTAGCATCTCAGCTGACAAATAGAACGAACTGGCCTCTATATTATTGTTCTTAGCCCGCACTACTGCATCACATGCACGTTTAGATTTAAGATACCCGTAAGGATTGGCATATTGCACGAAGTGTTAAGCGCAGATTGAGTATCTCAATCTTAGCTGCAGTTGGACTCTCATTAAAATCAGCGGTATCGCGTTCGGCTGCTGAGGAGATAGTTTGTTACAGATAATTAATTTTAACTCTAACAAAACCTCGACCAGTTCATTCGACGACCTGCAGACTTTTCGCTTGGATTCGTCTGTTCAAGTCTGAATTTTAAAAAGATGAGCAATATTGCGTGGTCAATTATTGATCATTTGCTCATCGGGATACAAGAATGTAAAATTTACAGGAAACTACTTCTTTCAAAATGTGATAGCGCTTAGTTTGCTCATCGCAAGCTTACCGGCATTTAAGTCAAGCGCTAATACCAGCAGCGCTACGTAGTTCAGCGCGTTTGAGTCTTTAATTTTAATGTGAAGCTACTTATCTTGTTTTTAGAGTCAACAAGCTCTCAAAATTATCATAATCTTTAGTGTAAGCACTAGCTTTAATCATGACAATCATTCTTCAGTCATTCTCATTGAGACGATAAACGCTAACGAACAAGCTCGTCATTTAGTAAGATAGAAGGGTTTTGTCCGATTTTCGAACTCTCGTAGACTTGAGTTGGCCCCATTTGATACGGATGCCCTTCATGCTACTCATCCCGTCATATTAAAAAACATTAACTAAGCGAACGATGTACAGTATTTGGTGGCTAAGACTAAATTCGGCGCCGCAAAACGTCAGTGCAAGATACATGACTAGATTTTATCCCCACTCAAAAGCTTGATTCTACATCTCGCTTTATGCATCCCACCTATCCGCACTCATAGCATATTGATGTAGTTCTTAAAAACACTCTATCATCAAATTCACAGAATGTTCTGTATAGCCTCGATCTCCGTAGGTGTATCGAATTCCCGCTTGGCGAAGATGGTCCGCCTATGCTAGCTTTGGCCTGACAGTGTTGAAATACTTTTTTTTGAGTAGCGGAGGGCAAATGCCGAAGTAAATTAGTTAGCAGCTACACAATCTACCCTTCCTACATGTCCGTAGCTACCTTCCTGCGCGCCCTTCTTGTTCCCTGTGCCTCTGCAGCAGCAGCCCTCGAGCTTCTCCCTGCGACGCCCCGACAAGATGCATGGTCGCGGGTGGTGGTGGATGTGATCCAGTCACATCCAAATCTCACTCTACTATCTCCCAATCAGATCTTGTCATACGTGAAACGCCGATCCCAGTCATCATTCGTCGAGTCAGTTCCCTATCTTCGCTGAGCTCATGCGCGTTCCCCACGCGCCCTACAGACCATTGATCGCCTTCACGTCATCAATCGATGAGTCCTTGGCTCGTCCAGTTCTCATTATGCGGCGCAACTTCAATACTCCCACTCGCCGCTAATGCGCAGTGGGCTTGGCGCGTACTCCGCTCGCCGAGCGAAGTACCTGAAGTCGCTTGGTTCCCAGCGGCTTCGTCATCATGTCCGGCAACTGCTTCCCCGTGCCGATATAG